TGGACTCACTATGTAGATAGGTGTGCTTTTGTAGAATGTAGCTATTAACAAGTGTGACCAGGTGGGAAAATAGGGAGGACTATGGCTACAAAATCAAAAACTAACACATAGAGCTTGCATGGCGGGCACAGCAGGTGTTAACCTCGACTATATACGTAGCACGGACCTGCTTGCACAAACGAACCGCCCAAAACCCACTGTTTGTTCTTCCAATTCACTTCAAACCTAAGCCCCTCTCCAGTACCACATTTTAAAAACTTATTTGAACAAGAGCTAAAAGCTTCAAGCTACGTTTTAATTTGAATCGTTTCGTGGTGCGCGAGATGCATGCTAACGTCTTGAATAACTCAATTACTGACGGCGCAAACAAGTTTTACTAGGTTCCTGTGAGGGAAATAAATTAAATATTTTTGAAGCATTTCGATTCGTATGGCGCCATGAACGGCGCCGGCGCGCCCCCGGCCTCCTCACGCGGCATCATTAATACAAAACAAACAAAAGTGACCTCTAGACGGGCGCGTCCAGTTAACGAGATTCACCAACCCGCCGGATAAAGTGGTAAATTATCGGGAAGTTAGCGGTTGCGCGGTGGTCTACGCCGGGGGCTATACGAAAAAAACATGTAGGCGATGTCAGGAACGCAGATTATCCCGGCTAATTATCGGCGAGAGCAAAAAGCTGGCGGTGTGCGAACGGCGACAACGGACGCGACATCAATCGCTCTCGAGTGCTGCTCGCATACGAAATCAACTTTTTACCTTTTATTCTTTAGAACAATTTATGTAGGGTAGGTAACGTGGTTTGATAGAAAAAGCGGACGTTCTAGTACAAATTTTCACTCCCATGCTTTTATTTAAAATACTCGCTTTATCTCATTTAATGCCATTTTTATAATTTTATCATTTTCAAATTTGTGTTATTCACACGTGACTTCAAGTAGAGAAAAATTTACAATCCGAAACTTTAGATCAGGTAACACAGCCATTTCAAGCTGTGATTACGAAAATTAAAAACTATTTTCGGTGTTTTTAACAACTGGAAATTTGTTACCCAGGCATTTTGGTAATAGGTGCAGTCGGTGTTGTCATACATTAATAATAAATAAATATATAAGGTAAGAATATATTACCAGTGCAGAATTAAATGGGAAGCTGTGGGCCCGTACAGGAAATCTCGAAGGAGCTCAGTCCACATGGACTGTTATTTCTTCACTGCATGTCCACATTATCGATGATGAAAAAAATAATTGAAGGGGTACCGTCGTAAAGCAAACAAGCTTATAATAAGGTGTAATTTGTGCCCGGCCATTTAGAGAAATGCACAAATTACCAACGAGGCAGCTGTTTGTTTTGTCTATGACGGAGGTCCGGACTCCGAAATTATGCGTTAACAAGCCCCGCGTCAGATTCGGCAGCCCTAATGGGTTTTCGTTAAGTTTTTTGTTATAATCCGAAATATTTATGGGTATCGTGTAATGTGTTTTCTTGATTGCGAGTCTTGGATTGCGACAGCTGCATCGTTTAATTGACTGTACATTACTAATACAACTCAGTTTTTCATCGGTTCAAGTTAAAACACGGTAAGCTCGTTAGTCACGTCGGGAAATCGACTCAGGGTTCGATAATTAGTTAAGATATAAACGTGTTATGAATCTTTTGCTCGCTAATACTTTGATATGACCGAACCTACGTGTAGTTGGTTTTTGAAAGTATTACATGTTTTGTCACCGGTAAATGCATGTATCTTCAAGTATTGTGTACGATTTTTGTATAACGTCACGTAACTACGTGTTATTATTCAAGCCCACATATTCAATTGTTATCAAATTGTTGTATATTATATATAAGTGTTATATAAGAATAAAATAACAATATTATTACACTCTCTTGCCCGAAGCATCTCATGGGTATCGTGTTTATAGAACATTTAATTTCAATTCATTTAAAAATGTTATTATTTCATTTAAAAATGTTGGTTGGAAACGCGATTGCTGATTATGACGTCCTGGGTTCAAATCTCGGGTCTGCCAAAAAAACAGTTTATTGAGTTTTTCCGTCAAAAATTCTCAATAGCTGCCCGGTGTCAGGAAGTCGGCGGTGTCTTACCCCCGTGCCTCGGAAAGAACGTAGTTGTTGGTCCTGTGCCTTATCTCTCTTCGGTCGTGTCGATTTATCCTCCTATCGGATTATGAGCGTGAGGGAATAGAGAGTGCACCTGTGCTTGCACATACACTTGGGCACTATAATCCTGTCCTGCGCCGTTGGCTAGTCTCCATTGAGGCTAGCCGCCGTGACCGAAAACGGTCTGGAGGACATTATTATTATTGTTAATATTATAAAATTTTCTGATTATGTATGAATATAGCAGTTAGTTAAAATTGATAAATATGCCTACGATATTTTTAACTTAAATTTTTTTTTTATTTCACCCACAAAGCTTTTCTTTAAAATTCCTTATTTTAAAATAATTAAAAAGACAACGGAAAACATAACTCGTCTGTTCGTATTATCTCGTATCTAAATCTAAATACGTTGTATATAAATATTTACCTATCGAATCTACATATCTCCTCCAATATCACATTGATCTTAATTTACGTATTATTTGTGATCGCTTACAAAAATGTTCAATCTGATGAATATATGGGCGTATATTAATCAAATCAAAAAGAATGTTAATCACTTACCATGTCTAACGAACTTACAGTTCACCTGATGGTAACAGGCTTCTGTGCATTTCATGGACAACTGCAGCCAACTTAAAAAAAGAAAGCTGCAGATGCGGTGTCACCTCTGAAGACTCACATGAATTGCCTCACTGCTTGGCGGTTGTAATATGGCGGAGAAATGGCCAGGGTGGTAACTACTCAGAACAGTCAGAGGGATTAAAATTGTTAAGAATTACCTTACACATATCCGATCAATAAAATAAAATGATGTGTCTTACCTAGTTTGAAGAGCACCTCCCGCCCTCCCTCAATTGCGTGCATTAATCCCGTCACGACTAATCCCAGCACCACTACTCCCAACACCACTACACTAGGAAAGACACACCATCGACGATAATATACTCGAGGAATCCTCAGGTGATGTAGGCTCTGCGGTGGCTGACCGCTTAGCGAGGGAGCTTAATTGAGCGAGGACGGGCGGTGCTCTTCAAACTAGGTAAGACACATTTTATTTTATTGAGAGGATGTGTGCGAAGTAATTCTTAACAACTTTAATATAACGGATTTCTGCAAAGTAACGCCTGATTCCAATAGTGACAACTCAGAGGGATATATTTTTCTACATAACATATTTTTATTTTTTATTGCAGTTTTATGTCCGTTAAAATAACATTTAAATAGAAATTTCTACTACGTGAAGCGCGTTTCCTTGCATACACTTTTATAAGAACTTTAATTTAATGTTGTCAAAAATTACTTAAGATCTGAATTATTTCTGACAAGTACTATGAAACGTTCTAAAGCAAGAGTTGGGTACTCGTGAATCGAGTTCAATCTCCGATTTATCACTTACTGTTTTTTTCTGTGGTGCGGTTTCAATTAAAGTAAACATCTTTGATTTTAACAGGACTTTATTGTGTGCCAAAAGTTACTAGGAAACGCGGCAGACCTCTTAATCTCGATAGCTCTTTCAAAAAATAAGAAAGACATGTGTTCAACAATGAAACCATAATATGTAGATTATTATTTTTCTTTACTTTTAAATATTGCAAGATAACGCTTAAGGCGAGATATCGCAATATTGGCGGGATAATATTTATCTATATATTGGATAGGGTGACAAACGAGCACGCAGTCCACCTGAGGATAAGTGGTTGCTGTGGCCCATAGACATACGAATCAAAATGCAGATGCGTTATAACCCGTGAGGACTAAGATAAAATGTCTCATTTCAGTAAAAGGGGTCTCCGGTTAAACTGCTATTTTACGTTGGTATTCTGTGAGCGTGTGGTGTGGTCCTTCTCCGTTTGAACTTATTTGTGCTACAACTATATCAGTAAATAGCTGCAACTCTATCACGTAAAAAAAATAAAAAAACCTCCCCCTAGGATTGCCACCAAGCACGGATTAGTAAGCTGAAGTTCGAAGAACCGACCATCGATGGGAAAGATAGGTTCTCGAGTGGCAGCCTCACACCGGTAGACGAATATTAGATCCCCCCCCCCCACCCTTCGCCCACTAAATGGAATAATATTAAAGGTATTGAAATATTGGAAATTAGGTTTCATGTATTTAAAATATTTACTTTTAGCACGAGTATAGGTATATTTTGGAATAAAAATAATTTCTCGAGGTAGGAGGATTAGAACAAATATTAAATAAGACAACAATGGCTACCTATATGTTTCATTAGAGAATTTACCGACGATTCGCTAGCAATTTGACGGTTGAAAAACGCTGGGGAATGTTGATTACTAAAAGAAATTAGTTGTAACATTAGTATAATACTTGTAGTAGTAAATATAAACTGTTATCGCAAAGATAGCTACTTGTTGTGTGGTATCTGTTTGGAATCTGAATACTTGACCACAGAAACGCGGTCTTATTCAGAAGATTTGTGTACTCGTAAAAACAAATATTAATGTTGAGTTCTGAATTAATGTAAATGTATTCTTCTTCAAAGTTCTCCCAATCGTTTCAATTTGACTTGAAGTAAAACTACTTATGACCGTACGTCCTTTTTATGAATACTTCAAACTTAATTTATAATTTTATCATGTAAATATTACTGCCATAATTTTATAATCAACTTTAAATGGATAAAGTACTAACTTTCAAAAATATGAATACGAGTTACACTACAATTTATGATTGTGAATCAGTATTAGTAGTTCACAGTATTCTAATATACTATTTTATATTCACAACGATTTTATAGCACAAAATTTTGTTTTGGTAAAATATTCAACTATCACAAAGGTTTCCTGGCTATATTTGACGTCGCAAATGACGACATTATCTGTTGGAAACAAAGGTAAAGTGTTGGACTCACCGGCCCCCCTTGGTGATGATCATTTCAGTGCCGATGTCGTGAAAACGGCGCCACAGCTCGGCGTTTAATAGACGCGCCTCGCACGCCGGCGGCTCAGCATCAGCGCCCACGCGGTGCTCTGTGAACAAAGTAACATTTAATGGTCGTTGATTTTGGAAGCTTTTAATTTAACGTATGTGAATATATTTAACTTGTAAGGGGCGTACTTGTGACTTGAGTGAAATAGCCGGAAAATCTGTCATTAGTTTCTGTCACAGGGATGTAACCTTTACATTAAATCACATAAAATATATAAATAATAATAATTAGGAACTTATTGCGTACTGTAACTGTTAACAGATAAGTAATGTGGCAACACTTTTGTGAAGCCTATGTCCAGAGTTGTCTGCTTTTGTTTAGATAATGTTGATGAATACATTAAAATATTCCCGTATTTTGTAAACGTTTTACTATAATAATTTATATTCAAGTTCACAGAAATATAACTTACACAAATACCAACCTATTGAAGACATCAGGGAATCCTACATGTATAGTATGTTAGCATATACGATACATAGAGCTAAGAATATATAGACAGCCTTAGCGCTCGAGCCGTGGTAGCTCAGTGGCGAAGAGTAAATTTTAGAGTACGCGAGTAAATCGGTGAAATAAGCAAATCATATCAAAAATAGAATGGTCGTCAACGTCCTCCGCTTTTACACGTGGGAAATTAGTTTTATTTACTAATTATGCGATGCATGATTCTGAACAAACGGCAAACCGTATCATATTACTGTCACATTGCTGTCTATCCATCTAGCTACATGTCAAGGATTTCTAGCTCGTAAACGAAATAAGTTTCAAACCGGAAATTTGGGTATTTGGTGTGGATTTTTGACCCAAAACCGAATATTTGTGTAGTTAGGACCGAAAAAATTAATTCTAACCCTAGGTTGTCATTATCTAGAGCTCATTGAGTAGACTACAAGTATATATTTGATTCTATTTTATCTTAAAAAATAAAGAAATGAAGGGCCTTCAAAATTTTAATTTTAGACCATTTTGTTGCGTGGTCTTAAAAACTACGCTATATTATATATGATGTACCATATACTTTATTCAAACAACAAATACTGAAAAGATCGACTCATAATATATTTTGAAAGGTGTGACTAAAACAGACGAACATTTTTACAGAATAAATGTTAAATGGTTATGAAATGTACGGAACCCTAATAGAGCGAGGATCAATTCGCAATTAGGTGGTTTTATTAAAGTTCTCATTACAGAAAATATTTAGAGAAATGGCTAATACAATAAAAACCATTACCGTGGTGTTTGTACTTTGGCAACAATCTATTTTTGTCACGGAATGTAAGCTTAGGAAGCAATGAAATTGAAAATTAATGAGTCCTGTGAACAATCCACACCAAATACCCAAATTTCCGGTTTGTAACTTATTTCGTTTACGAGCTAGAAATCCTTGACATGTACCTAGATCGACAGACAGCAATGTGACAGTAATATGATACGTTTTGCCGTTTGTTCAGAATCATGGATCGCATAATTAGTAAATAAAACTAATTTCCCATACGTAAAAGCGGGGGACATGTTCACGGACTCATTATGATAGAATTTAAAAGAATTTTCGTTCGGATGTAGGTTGTATTTACTCATTGACCTAATTTGGTTTTTTGAAGATTTTATAGATTCAATAATTAATATCGTATTAGGAAAAAAAGTCTTAAATAACCGGAGGCAGTAAATATATACATAAGGTACGTGAGGGTAATATGGCTTGGTCATATAATTGGCTATGACCTTAAGAGTTGCCGCCCTACAAAGCCAAAACTACGAAGTGGACAAAGACAAAAACACAAAATGGGATATTATAACTAATATATTAAGAAAAAAAAAATAGTAAACAAGCTTTGGCAATTATTAGGAACACTTCGAAAAATGTACCTAAAAAAACTAACTATACTACACCATACTAAAATCGACGAAAACACTTACTATAATGCTATCTGTCAAAATGGCGTCGATAAAGTAGCGCCCTTTTGACTCTTTATTATTCGATTTACTGATGAAGAGCTATCGCATCACAAAGCTATCTATGCAAACAAGGCTGTAGTTTTTGAGATATAAAAAAGTAACCATATTAACCTTGATACTTAACCAGATGGACTTCTAAGCAGAAAAGAAATGCTACCACCTAGAATTGAGGGTGAGCTTTAACATTGCAATAAGCTTTGCTTTATATGAGTGAAAAAATCTTCTTTCTTTACTTTTATCATAGATATCAGATGCGTTTAATAAAGAGCTTATGAAATATTACCACTTTATAATAAGTTGGTAATTTTGTGAGTGCAAGTGATTGGAGTAAAAAGTGCGTGCATTTTAATATTACAAATATCCTTTGTATTGGCGGGGTTCAACTTTGGGTTGTGACTAGTGCAATTTCATGTTATTTTTAATGATTATAGGATAAATGGATCACTGTTAACCTTTTAAAGATTTTTTTTATTTTAGAATATGATTAATTTAATATGATTTTCACAAACATTGTGGAATGAATTGTTGCTCATTTTTCGTCCTATGCTCGGTCAGGTTTTTACTAATATTATTTAAATTCACGGTAGTGTCTTTACCGTGCTTATCATTAATGTATTGAAAACACATCTTTCCGTTATTGATCGGTATTTTTGATGGAAAAAATGGATTGCTCAACATAATCGTTTAAATAAAAGTTTATGAATTTCTATCACTTTACTGCACCTATTGTCACGAGGTGGGAAGCTGAGGTGTTCGACGTCCAAAATTGGTACAAAAATTAGTAATTTTTAACCGCCTAAAACATTGGGACGTTGAACTCTTCAGTCCCGCCCTCCCCCTGATAATGGGTGCTGTAAAGTGCTCGAAAATTCGGAAATATAAATTTATAATTAAATAGATTGAATTGCATTTAGAACCAATTACTTTGTTGTCAATATATTACGTACCTACGTATCAGGTGGACTTGTGGAAATATCAGGTTAAATGAAAAATAATTTTGCGTAGAAAATTCTTGCGATTGTAACATACATCTGTTTTTTTATAGAAATTCATTAAATATCGTATAATACAGATAGAGCACAGTCCATTTATTTAAATAATTTCTATCAAACCATACAAAAGCATATTTTTTAACAGAGAGTTCGACATTAAAGTTTTACCACTGCGTCATGAAAAAGACTTCAACGGGTTATTTATATTTTCTGTTTTATTTTTGGCGTTTTATATTTAATAATACGAATTTTGGTGAAAAGATCATTTAAAAGGAAATTTCTAGATTATAAAATATATTACAAAAATCGCTATATTACATCTATAGTTTTTTTAAACCACAAGTTTATGTATGTTAAATACATGAAAAGAACTATCCTAATTCGGGAATGCAATTGATAAAATATAATAAAATTCCAGTGCTATACATGATAGTGACCCTGCTCCTGAGGGTGCTCACAAAAATGATGTAATAAAATAAATATGTGAGGTCCATGGATCTAGGAAAAGCTGGTGCCAGCCCGTAAACTGTCTTTTGCTAGATCAGATCAGAGTAAAGGCTCAAAATATAAACAATCATTGAGAATAAAGCGTTACAGTATCTAGCTTCTTCTACAACGGGAAAAAACGAACTACAGAGTTTACTTTAAATTTAATACTCACGTAAGCCACTAAGTGAGGCCGCATGCAACATTTGTTGCCTCAGCAAATACTCTCCAAAATGCGCCTGATCCATCATCATCCTTTTATGAAATATGAAAAAAATATCTACCCAAGAGTCACTTCACAAAATCATTTTACGACGAGTAGTCTTAATTAAAAAAATACAGTTCGAAAATCAGCAACACAAACACGGCACGCTCAGAAGAAGTTCATAATTGGAAACAAGCGAAAGCTCGAAGGAAATATCCTGCGTAGCGTCGATACGACAGCTGAGTGTACACTGAACCGGTCCAAACGCCCGGGCGTCGCGTACGCATGGCCACGCCTTATAATTCCCATTGGTTGGAAGCTAACTAATGGCAGATAATACCAAATCCTTTCTGACTTTACACACCTTTGTAGGAGCTTTCCGCCCGCCTTCAACTTGAGAAGTAATCGGAGTCCAATTGCTACGAATGAAGTTCAAGTTTTGTGCGTAGGCGCATATATCGATAGAAGCTCATTGTGACTTTGCTCATAGATGTAATGTAGTTTAATATCGACATGGACAACATCTCACAACAACAACGGAACAGGGTGCATGCGCAAAAGTACAATTACTAACTATCCTGGGTTATAGGAAAAGATTCATAATTACACAAACATATATCTAGTGTTAAACAACCTGAAAGTCATTTTATAATGGTGCCTTTTGACGGATATGTTTTTACCGACCTAAAATGTACGGTAAAAACGTAATTTACCATTGATTTGCCTATTGTTATACGAATATATAGTATAGTTAAAATTAATTTTTAAAATTTTATTCGTAATATGTAACAAACAGTTATCAACAAGTATATTTAGTTATAATTTTTAAGTAGATCTTTTCTTTCTGCTAGTGATTTCTTGTTTATTTTTTATTTTTTCGGTCGTCTATCTCACGGCTAAATATAAATCCGAACTTTTTACTATAAAGTCTTATTTCACTAGATGGTAGGATAGAGTGTTTCTACCTAAAAATTTACCTGGGTTTGGTATTACCCTCTGACCTATTTCTGTTGTTAAATAGAAGAAGCTCCTGTGTTCCGATATGAAGTGTAAAAGAGTCTGTAAGATCTTCTTATTCAGAGGTAAAATGAATCTGTGACTTTCTACGTTTACAGTGATTAAGGGCAGGTAAACATGGCAGACAAAGACAAATAAGACAAAAAAAGTCGTGAAGGTTTCCTCACGACGTTTGCCTTAACTACCGATCGCATGGTAAATGAAAGTTTGAAACGCAGTTGTGCCGGCGGGAATGATACTCGACGTCTAAATATAACCCGAATTTTTAATTACAGATTTATAAAGGCTTTTTAATGTGGTATTTTTATGATTATCAAATAAATGTAATTAGAGAATCAACTTCAATTTCTGTAAGTGACTTCATTTTTAAAAAAATATGAAGACACTTCCAATTTTAGTAATATTATTATTGATCTGAAGCAAACTAGCTGTTATTTACCGACACAGACATTCCAATCGAATCAAATCAAATCATTTATTTGCAATCCAAGTGTACATAATTGGCCTCAAATTAAACATGTGATTGTAACTGAGACGCCTTTTTCAGGCACTGCAAATTATACGAGAACACTGCTTATATACATAAAATATACTTAGAAGCTACATAAATTTAAAATACATAACAGAATTAATTTTTATCTAAATACTAGTTAAATTGAGAAGAAGGGGTTTTGTTTTAAATATTTATTGAGGATTGGTCGAAATTTGGTGATTTTTTATATGTTTTTTTGTTTCCTGTGGTGATTTATTTGTTTGCGACTGTGGTAGGTATAATTTATTTTGTTACGTTTATTTATATTATGTGTATTTTCTTGTCTTCGTCTTCGTCTTGAAAATAATATTATTTTTGTGGACAAACAGGCATAGATCGTAAATGTACATACAGGCTGTTCAAAATACCACTGATGAAAATAGGGCTCCTCCTTAGATTGCCTCATGAGAGAGATAATGATATTGCCATGCCATAGTTGCCACGCTTGGTAAGTGAGTTGGTAACCGCAGATTTTTATTTTTTACTTGTTATGAGGAAAACGCTGCTGATCCTCTCCTGGCTTGTTTTTCTCTTACCACAGCTATGGACAATACTGAGTGCCCAATGGATATTCTTACACCGCAACCACACCGCCGATTGTTTGAATAGCATGCCTGTTCGTCATTACATGAAAAATTTATTCTTGTTTCATATTTCAATTTAAACGGTGAAGTGATAGTGTAAGAATATCTACTACCCCATTTCGTCCCGAGGGTGACGTCAGAGGCGACAATGGGAAGCTGAGACAGGAGGTACGCAGCAGCATTTTTCTGATAACAATACAAATATAAAAAACTGCCGTTGCCAACCCGCCTGCCAAACGTGGCAACTATGGCAAAATCAGGGGGTTTTCGCCATGAGGCAAAGATGGGGGAAGCCTTTGGACTTTTATATGCTGTTATGAAATATTTAAAAAAAACTTTAAATTGTTTGTTTACAAAGAAACATGAACACATCTCATTATTTTATCAACATAACGCATGATTCTCCGAGTTGGATACCGATAAAGATGCGATTGGGTAAAAACAGTCTGTGCATATTAACAAATTATATTTCCGACGTTAAAATCGAAACACAGTCGTCATCGGCTTGGTTGTAAATATTATTAGAGGTGCGTTCGTACAAACTTTTTGGAATGGCTGCAATTCCAGATATCGACTTTGAAAGATTTGAGCCTCTCTATATTCCATAGACCTTGATACCTGTCTTATGTATATATCTTGATATCTGTATTTGTATCTGGAAGAAAACAGGTTTAAAGTGATGAAGCAGTAATCACTGCAGGTACTTAGGTTGAAGAGTTCTTTAGGAAGGGAATTGTAAACTTAGACGAGAAACATTCTAAGTGTATCTATTACACTGAACACGGATTCTAATTCTTAATTTATATTGAATGCCCTTAATAACTTGGGCATGTAAACTTCTGTTAATGTGTTGATGATTAGATGTATCTATGTATTTTATGCTTTTATATGTATGTGTGCGTCACACACACGTGTGTACAAAAAACAGGATTCTAAATACAGGTAAATGCCATTTGAGCAGCAGCGTAATCTGTAAATAAAAATACGGCAATCTAATGTGGTTTGTTATGAGAAAACGGCATTGTTATGGCAGGTTTATGTTCAGCAGTAAAATTTTATAGACTGATAGATTAATGAACGTAATAATTTTATGGGTACGTAAATGTATAATTATGGGTTTGTAATATTTATTTATTTAACATCATATACACTCTAAAGTATATAGGCGGACTTAATGTCTGAGGCCGTTATCTACCAGTTTACCTTCTAAGGTATTAGGTATAATTTGTCCTTTATCTCTGCACTACTCTAGTAGTGCAGAGATAAAGGATATAGATGTAAAAAGAAGTACAGAAAGTCTGATATGTTATCACATATCAGACTTTCAACAAAATTTATAATATATCACAAAATTTGTTTGCTGTAGCCCTTTATTTTTATTGTATCTCTTAGCCAAACAACTACGTATAAACTCCTTATTCACCCTACACCCTATCTCAAGTCCACTGCTGATCATAAACTTCCACCCTAGATTGCCACAAAGTACGGTCCTGAGCCACTTGCATCCATTGACCACCTGCATTTTTCGTGTTTCTTCTTAACAGTTCGTCACAATTCGTGGCTGGACGTGGAATATTAATTTTATAAGTAATTTAATATAGCAATTTTTATAGAATTACAATGATAAACAAGCGCACAGTCCACCTAATGGTAGGTGGGCGCTATAACCCATAAGAATCTACATCTATCCTCCATTAAGAATCAAAATACCGATGCGTGAGGACTAAAAAGTAGAAAGTGTTTTTTTTTATAGAATAGGGTGACAAACGAGCACGCAGTCCACCTGATGGTAAGTGGTTGCTGCGGCCCAGAGACATCTACATCTATCCTCCATTAAAAATCAAAATGCAGATGCGTTGTCACCCGTGAGGACTGAGATGGAATGCCTCGTTTCCAGTAAAAAGGGTCTCCGGTTCTCTACACTCACCATACGAAATACAGCAGCATTAAGCTACTATTTCACGCTGGTATTCTGTGAGAGCGTCGTCCCTCCCCGGTCGAGCCGACCCATACGTGCTACAACTATACTACTAATATAACTGCAGCATGGCTCTACCACGTAATGTTTGCTCTCTGTCAGTAAAAAGGATCTACACTCGTGATATAAAACAGCAGCATTAAGCTGCTATTTTACGCTGCAATCCTGTAAGAACGTAATCCATTCCCCGTTAAGCCAACCCATTCGTACTACACCCAAAACATATCACAACAACACACAACGTCTACCACGTGTAAAATAGCTCTACTATTTTGACTAAAAATAATAAAATAAATTGCAGTTGTAAACCCGCCTGACAAACGTGGTGTCAACAGCAAATATCCTCTTATGGGACAATCTTTGGGGGAAGCCTAAGTATAGTAAAGGACTTTGATTGGCAGTGATGAAGATGATGATAGTTATTTATCTTAAAATCTACTCGTTTAGAAACACTATTGAGTTAGTTAATAATATTGCTAAGATCCTCAAGAGATTCTGCCACAGAGATTAAAGTTATTTTAAGGGTAAAAATAGATACTTTGAAAATTGCAACATAAGAATGTATACGTGTCAAGTTGGTTAAAATTTAGTAAAAATAGCAACTTTAGTATCAGTAAAGTAAAAAATAAAGTTTACAATTTAACAATAGACAAATTTTATAACAGTAACGTAAAACAGATTATGATTAGTGGGCAATAAATAAAAAGGTAAAATAAAACGAACCAATGTTTACTTTATTTACTCAACTCCACCGAGTCAGTAATTCATTCTTGGGACGATGTATATATACGCTTTTACAACAAAATCCAAGAAAATATACAAAATTTGACCAGCACAAAGTTCAAAAACTTTATTAAACTAAGTTTGTATAAAAAAGGTTATTATAACAGTAGGAATTTACGGATGATAATAACACCTGGGAAGCGTGATCGCTA